GAGCACCGATACATATACTTCATATAGGTTGATGTTTTTTTTCTTGAGATGCTCATTGTGTAGCATTTGGTTTCATTAAATTTCATGCCCCATTTGTCCAACCAACTCATAAGGCACTTCATATCTGTTTGGAGGTGGTTGTGGTCATCGTAGCCGTTTGTCTCTCTGTAGACAAGACAGTCATCTGCAAACAGCCTCACTTGAGATTTTACAGTATCGGTGAGGTCGTTGATGTGACAGAGGAAGAGAAGGGGGCCCAGCACTGTGCTTGTGGAACTCCTGAGTCTACCGTGGCTTTCCCTGATCGGTCACCGTCTACCACTACTTGCGTGGTCCGTTGTGTTAGGAATGTTGAGAGCCAGGAGTGAAGGTTGCCGGTAATACCGTAGTGGTGGAGCTTTGGCTGTGTGGAACAGTGTCGAAGGCCTTGTAAAGTCGAGAATTTGCCATGTTTGAATTTTGATGTGAAAGTAGTGAAACGAAATGTAAGTCAAATGAAACTGCAAAGTAAATGTATTTGGTGCGAATTTTGTAAAAATTATTTGTTTTAATTTTAGTGAAGTGCATATGAATATGGTATCTTTGGTTATGACCATGCCACTTTCTATTTAAAATAAATATTTCATTTCGTATACAGACTGACTGATGATTCCGAGTAGTCAAACAATTGTGTTTTTGTGTACGGTAACATTGCTGTCTAAATTTCAAAAAATACTACTGATCTAAGAAGTGAAGTAATTGACTTAAATGAAGGAAGGCTAGTATAGTATCGCCCTGACAATAATATGAACAGTATGACCACACAACATACCCGGTACAATGCCCGTTAACATTCACCAGCAGTTAGTAACAGGCAAAATAAAATGTCTGATAACTGCGCTAAGGAATTTAGTCAATATTTTCATTTACCTGGTACCGCAAGTGCGTTGTATTTTTTTGTTTTACGGAAATAGTTGAAGTTGGGCAGAGCAAGAAATCAATGATGTGAAGTAGAAGGGTGGTATATTGAAATATGAATATAGATCAAGGGAGGTGGCACTAATACTAATGGAGGTGGCACTAATACTAATGGAGGTGGCACTAATACTAATGGAGGTGGCACTAATACTAATGGAGGTGGCACTAATACTAATGGAGGTGGCACTAATACTAATGGAGGTGGCACTAATACTAATGGAGGTGGCACTAATACTAATGGAGGTGGCACTAATACTAATGGGGAGGTGGCACTAATACTAATGGGGAGGTGGCACTAATACTAATGGGGGTGGCACTAATACTAATGGGGAGGTGGCACTAATACTAATGGGGGTGGCACTAATACTAATGGGGGTGGCACTAATACTAATGGGGGTGGCACTAATACTAATGGGGGTGGCATTAATACTAATGGGGGTGGCACTAATACTAATGGGGGTGGCACTAATACTAATGGAGGTGGCACTAATACTAATGGGGGTGGCACTAATACTAATGGGGAGTCTTCTTATCAATGATAAAGTGAGCTACTTGATTGATGAACTCACCCATTGCGGCCGCCATTGTTTGGCGGGCCAAAGATCGGTTTATTGAACTTTTGAAATACCGGGTAGTATTAAGTATCATTATTATAATTATGTGATTATCAATATTATGCGTAAGTTGGTTTCAGAAGGATGTTTGTTACTTTGCTGGGTCCATTTTTCATAATTTGTTGTTCACTCCCCTCACCTCCTCAAAAAGAAAATCTTGTGTAGTGTTAGCGTACGGGTACACAAAACTTTTCCATCATTTAATTTAATGAACAATTATTTGAAGAATTTTAAAGGGGACATATCCATCTTTGGAAAATGTGTTTCAAATGCAGACCTGTTTACCCTCAAACTCTTAAAATCGTACAATTGTTAAATACATTATCTTAATAGTGAAAAATTAACATACAGTATATCAAATGTATACACCTACAAATCACACATTGTACTTACGCCAAAATCATAAGAGTCAATAAGAGTAAACATGTCTGCAAATGTAATCAATGATTCGCTCTCGTTTTAATAAAAAAGAAGGTACCAGCATTTCAGTTCACAGCATATACCGGTATTTAAAATTCTGCCAAAGGATGCTTCTATTAGTATAATAGATCTTCAACTTTGATGTGTTTGCCTATTGCAAGCTACTGTTTCTATACCGGTACAACACTTGACCCCATCAGGTGGAACATAGAATAAAAAATGTCAAGATAATGTTCCCATCTGTATTACTGTATTGTTGACCCCATCAGGTGGAACATAGAATAACAAATGTCAAGATAATGTTCCCATCTGTATTACTGTATTGTTGACCCCATCAGGTGGAACATAGAATAAAAAATGTCAAGATAATGTTCCCATCTGTATTACTGTATTGTTGACCCCATCAGGTGGAACATAGAATAAAAAATGTCAAGATAATGTTCCCATCTGTATTACTGTATTGTTGACCCCCATGGGATGGAACATAGAATAAAAAATGTCAAGATAATGTTCCCATCTGTATTACTGTATTGTTGACCCCATCGGGTGGAACATAGAATAACAAATGTCAAGATAATGTTCCCATCTGTATTACTGTATTCTTGACCCCATCGGGTGGAACATAAAATAACAAATGTCAAGATAATGTTCCCATCTGTATTATCTCAAAATGACCCAAACTGGGTTAAACAAAACCCTCCCCCCCCCCGCCCCCCCCCCCCCCCATTTAGATGTGGAATATTTTGTCTTTCAGGCGGGAGGAATATTCAAGGACTGCCCACGACGGCAGTTAGTCTAGCCCAGGGGTGGCCAGACCTGTAGTAACTGAGAGCCATTTTTAAAATAAAAAAAAATTGTTGAGACCCACATTGATGAAGCACTATGGGTCACGACCCCACTCCTCGCAATAAAAAATTCCTTTAGTGATTTCTTTTTAAAAATTCCTTTTTATTCGAATTTAATGATTTAAACATTTCAATTGTTTTAACCCTAACCGTATGTTGAAGAAATTAAATGCGTTACACAATTGAAGAAATATATGCATTACAATTACACAATTAAATATTTAAAATTTATGAATAGAAACACACTGCATTTATACTCATAATTATAGTGAACATTATTTGTCATGATTCTGCTGAGAAGCCTTAGAACTAGCAAGTTTCTTTAAATTTGGTTGGTAGCTAGTAGTTGTGGTGCGAAGAAGTTCTGTCAGATGCTGGATACTATTTAACAGTTCACATCACCAACCAATCAGAAACAAATCGCTCCCTTCAACTTTTAAAATTTAAATCAATCCCAAATTATGTTCAACCCTTTGTTTCAGTCAAGTTTTTTTTTAAAATTTCATTTATTTTTTATATTATATATTTCAAACGAAAAGTTTTAATTTCATAAAAAGTTCGTGCGCTGCAATGTGAACGCATGCAGTTCAAAAGCAGCGATTTGGCCACCGTTGGTCTAGCCAGATGCATGGCTACATTTACCTTCAGTATGGTACCGTTACTAAAATAATAGTGAAGTACAGGCAGTTGTTGTTTGCATCAACAGTTATAAAATTAAGGTCAGGAAATAATACTTTCTGGATAAATAAGATGCTAAAAATAATTAATGGGGATTATTCTGTTTTATTTAACTGAAGCACATCTTTCATAAAATTTGATACCGGTACAGCAGTTAAAGAAATATCAAGTTCAGATAAACACTTATTCTCTCTGTGCAAATTCTGAGGGATAGCCTTGAAACAAAAAGGACATTTGTGACAACCGACAACACAAACAAATCAACATTCATAACACAATAAATTTGTTAAAAAGCTTCAAAAACGAACAGACTTTTATTGTGCCATCATTTGTAATATAAATGCCACATGACCTCAAATTTTACTTGTTATCTCATCCTAAATGACTGGAAAAAAAGGATCATCAACCAGCAGCGATTTCTTGCAAACCTGTGAAGTTATAAACAAACATGTTACAGGGCAAACACAACAATCATCTCCACCAAGACATAAAACCTATTTTGAAAATTGGAGTGGAAGATTAACCCCAGGAATGTCAATTGCATTTTTAAGTACCGGTAGTGTCAAGCCATTTTTAGTAATTTCATAGGCTTGTCAAAAATAACAAAATTTCATACCAAATGAATTCTGAGACCCTCACAAGTTTTACATCTTTTGAAAGTATAATGGACAAGGCATCTTATGGTATGAAATGAATTTGTTTTCAAATGATGTAAATGGTTACTGACCTAGACCTTTACAAACAATTGGACCTGAACGATGAGAATCATAAAATCCCTGTTCTTCACTGAGCATATTTGCGTCAAAAACATTTATAATCTGACTAGCGATAGTTAATATGAAATTTGAAATAATTCCAATAAAGAAAATCTGGGTAGAATATAAAAGGGGACCCTCTCCAGCATCAGACGAAATAGCAATAAAAAAAACATTGAGCAAATTTCACTCCCAATATATCACAAAACAAGCCCTGATGAAAGCATGCTTACGCAGACAGAATCAGAGATGGGAAGCAAATTGATTTCAATAGAGTGATTTCCCTGTAACCAATGCAACATTAAATCATTTGCATTTTTAATGGCAATTTTACTATTGGCAGATTGTAAATTACATTGGCCCTGACACAACAGAAAGGGTTATTATAACGGCAGATCATTTGTTGTTATGACAGTTCTAGGGTTAAAAATGATTATAAACTTGAATACAAAATTAAAAATATCACACTAGCCAGCCAATATTTACTCAGGTGTTATGTTTTTAACACAGGTTATAAAAATATTTAATGGTACCAGTACCAATATTCACATTATGCCATATATATAAATATAACTATTCTGTACAATGGAAATGTTTCAAATTCACTAAACCCATACTTTAAAATATGGATAATGTCAAGGAACTAAACATTTATAGTACCTACAGACCAAAAACAAACTGAAAGAATATTTATAAACAATTAAAAAAAAAATAGAGACCTACCATTTTTTTTATCTTAACCTTCTTGCTTCTCTTTCAGACTCGAGAAGTGTGAGAATGTCACCTTCACGTACAGGTCCCTTGACATTTCTAATGATGGATCGGTTTGAATCGTCCAAAAATTCTACTCGAACCTGTTTTTTTAAATAAAAATTTTAAATACTATATGTTGGCATACACATCAGACAAACTATTTTTAGAATTATTGAAAAAAATTAGGTGAAACTTAAAATGCAAGAAAGCTGTGTAAAAAAAAGATTGTATATGACAAGAGAAGATAAAACTTTAAACCAAGAAAACATGTAAAATTATAATTTATATCCTGAACACAAACAGCTCAATACCTGAGTACACTGTCCTTGGGATCCAGTGCGTCCAAGGACTTTCAATACCTAAAGAAAAGAGACAAAACTTTAATGAAAAAACTAAAAAAAAAGTACATAAATGATGCTCAAAAACATTATCCAACACAAAATTCAAATGTATACTTTTATAACATATTAAGACTACAATATTTTGTTTCTGCTTTTGGAAGTCTTAAATATCTAACATATACAATGAATTTTAAAAAATCCATGATCTACTAGGTGTTAAATACTCAATTTGAAACAATGGTATAGTGTTCTAAAACTAAATAAGCTCTTTTTTTGTGTAGATTAGTTTGGCATTGCATCGGAACTGAAACCCATCAGCTAAGTTGAAAGCAGTTAACCGATTGTATGGATCTGGTGTATATATGAATTTTTAAAACTTTCATTTTCTTCCCTCCCCAAATTTTAGATGTTCCAGTGACTATAACTGGCTATAAGAAACTAAGTGCATGAAAAAATGTGATGGCGATACATCCAAGAATTGGATTTTGCCTATCCACCAGAAACTATAATGGTTGGATGAAAATTCAGCTGTTGTATCTTCAACGATACACGAATAAAATATTGAATGTCTGTTTCAGGACCAACATTAGGACCTGAGCGATGAGAATGATACATCGCCCGTTCTTCACTGAGCATTATTTGTGACAAAATCATAATCTGGCAATTGAAACAGTTAATATGAAATAAGTTAAAATTAAAGGGAAATTTTCCATTCCGTTTATCTTAAAATTGAACTTAAAACTTAAAGGTTCAAAAGAAATAAAAAAAGAGAAACTCATCCAGGCTGATAGTGCTGTATTTTTATTGGATGAAAACAAAGTATCAGAATGCTTTTCCTTTAGACTATAAAATGTCACTCTTTACAGGAAATTTCAACATAATTTTCAGGGGAGGGACCCCCCCCTCCCCATTTCAATACAAAAATAAACAAAATAAATACTAGGGAGGGGAGACCCCTCCACCCTCTCTCAGAAAAAAAATTAAAAAAGTGAGCGAAAATACTTATCGGTATATAAAATACATAGCTAAATTTTAACATTACAAATTACAGGCCCCACCACTGACTGCATGTTAGCCCACAACTTTGAGAGAGTGCACTTTCACCAACAGTGATCAAATGTTACACACACTCCCACAACCCCCCGTCCAAGACGCAAACTTATCTGTAGTTATCTGTATCTGGATGGGATAACGGTTTTAAGTTTTAGGGGACAGAAGGTTACAAAAAAGTTTTTAAAAATTGTTATTGTTCCATTATTATGCAAATTGTGTATTTATTTATTTAGGCATTTTTATATAGTGCTTACCTTAAAGCTCTAAGCGCTTTACAATTATTAAAAACATCTAAACTAAGTAAAATAAAAATGAGACACTAGGATAGTAACTACTATACTATAGAAACAATTAAAATGGCTATAAAACGAGGACACTTCGGCACGTTTTGGCCTAAACTACAGGATCAACCCGAGACAGAAAATGAGGCAGGGCAAGGAGGGTGCATCACAGGTCATAGGCGGACCTAAACAGATGGGTTTTAAGGGACTTTTTGAAAGTGGACGAGGTTTCACAATGACGGATATGGAAGGGGAGCTGGTTCCAGAATGTGGGTCCATGGAAGTAGAAGGAGCGTTCACCAATGGTCTTAGTTTTGGTTCTTGGGATTGAGAGGGTTCTATTGTCAATGGAAGAGCGTAGTTGTCTTGTGGGGATGTAAGGAAGCAACAGTTCAGAGAGATAGACAGGAAAGTATTTCTTCTATTCCAACTAAATTTTTAACTAATTTGCTTGGTCGTGGAGAAATATAAAAAAAAAATTAAATATATTTCTATATTTGGAAAATGGCACTCACTGCTGTCAAGTGCTGATCATGCCCAACTCAACCGTGGAATATATTTTTTTTAAAACTTATTCTAAATGACTAAATTGAGCTCCATCTGTGAATAATGCTAAACAAGGCCACTCTAAGAATTTTTAATATAATTGTTAAGTAATAAGATTTTTTTGTCTAAAGATTAACTCGTCAGTAAACATATCGGTGTCTTTAAAAAAAGATTTTCAGTCAATTTTAACACTTCCGTCGTGTGTTAACCTATTCTCGATAGTCAGTAATACTCTTTTAAAAATCAAATGTGTGAAAATGTACATATAATATTCGATTAAAGCTATCCAGAGAAGCACTATATAAGCGCAGTAAATGTTTTCCCCCCAATTTAACTCATTTAACGGCTTACTTTGGCGAGTTTCACTGGCTGCAACTTGTCCATGTTGTATGGTTGAAGGGCTAGCGAGAGAAAAGGAAGTGGTGGAACTCTTTTCAACGCTTTTTCGGCTTTTATCCCAAATTACCGTTTAAAACCGAATTTTAAATATATGCCAAGTTTTTTTTAAATACATTCATGTAACACGGAACAGAAAATGGGAATTTAAATTACATTTATATTTTTACCCTATCTTCTCAAATCTTTTGAGATTATTAACATTTCATAGCAGTTTATAATTTTAAAAATAAAATGTATGCACACAATATGAGTGATACACCAGATTTTATTGAGGCTGCGACTTTTCGTACCCGGGTACCAGAAGTAGAAGTGAGAGGTTGGGATTAAAAAACTATTTAAAATATTATTGTTTTGGTTTGTAAGACAAAATGAGGTATCAAATGAAAGATAATTGAATTAAACATATTATTTATATATATAATTTACACATATTATTTATTTAACGTTTTATTTATACATCATTTCATTATATTTGCACAAACTCACATCGGAGTAAAATTGTGTAATGTTGTTACAAGTTGTATTATTAGTTCAATCATAGGCTTAATAGAAATTATCGACTATAAAAATTATTTTAATCGTAAAAATCGTAAAATTAGTAGTTAATACTAGTTAGTAATTATCCAAACTTTAGCAGTTCCTGGGTTTACAAAACTATAGTTAATATATTATAATATGAAATGAGTAAAACGAAGTAAGGAAAAGGAACCCAACAAAACAACGACAGGAAGCCTTCGTCAGCTAACAAAACAACAGAAAAAAAACAACAAATTAAATTTAAAAATAGCAATGAGCTTAGAAGTAGTATCCGAGAGGGAAGCAAATGAATCCAACATTTACTGCCCTCTCGTATACTACCTCTAAGCTAAGTGCTATTTTAAAATGTTCTTCTGTTGGCTTTTTTTTTTTAGTTGTTTTTTATCGCCGACGAAGGCTTCCCACCGACACGTTCGTTGTTTTTTTTCGTTCCTTATTCAGGTTTAACATTACTTCCTTTTACTCATTTCATATTTTGCTAACCTGATTGCAGTCTCTCCCCTTATTACCCATTTAGTATAATAGTAGACCATAATAGTAGACCCCAGTAGTCGCCATATTTTCCAGATTACACGATGATTCCTAAAATAGATTGGCCTATCTTAGGAGTCGTCCATTAATTATGTCAACAAAATGTGTGTGTGTGTGTGGGGGGGGGGTTGGAGATGTTAGACAATTGTTGACAAGGGGGAGTGGGAGGGTTGGATTAGTAGGCCTAAACGTCAACAATCATGTTTTCTCTATTAAAATGGTAACCTTAAAAATTGACTGGTTATTAAATTATTTTAACAAATTTAACGAGTGTAAATAGTTATATATTTTTAGGCTTTTAACAATATAAGATTTATTTAATGTGTGTCTGGGCACTGCCGACAGCTGGTCAGAATGTTAGCATACTTTGTTAGTGCAAGAGAAGTCAGAAGTTGGCCTTTCTCGCCAGTAGATTCTGTTTGTCGTTAAATGACTAGGGCGGTATGTTTGCGATCATGTTGCAGGTATGGAATGAGGACAAGGTTCAAGAGTCATGCGCAGTCAAGATAAATGACATTGATAGAGTAGGAATACGATATTTTGAGAATTAGTGGAAAGTAAAGGGAATAACAATAATAGCATCACTGCTTGAACGAATTTGCAACATCTTGCAAAATCTGTAACATCTATTTTGCATCACAAGTCATGTTGAAAAAGCATGTTCACAGCACCAACAATGCCCTATTGAGCATACAAAATTACCACCTGCTCTTCAACAACAAAGGATTCGACCAATGCAAGTAGCTGCAAGGAGCATGGTACCAGTAGTGTTACAGGAGTTGTCGGATTGTTTCATTGTGGCGATGTTATCCATCTCCAAGTTTGAATTCAGAGTTACCTTCTCTTAGACGAGTTGCCATTCACCCGGGGTGCTGGTGACGTTTTTTTTGTGTGTGTTTTTTTTTTTTTTTTGTTTACAGGACTGGGCTTTGGTGGGACGGACTATATTTTTGGATATGTGTGCGTGGGGGGGGGGGGAGCTGACTTGATTTTATCTTGAGTATTCTGATAGGCATCTCCACATGCCATGCACAAAAAGTTATAGAATTAGGGGAGACAACAAAAGTAAGGGAAAACTAGTGTAGGTGTCACCCGGTGCGGAAAACTCATGGTGTCACCCGGTGCGGAAAACTCATGGTGTCACACGGTGCGGAAAACTCATGGTGTCACCCGGTGCGGAAAACTCATGGTGTCACCCGGTGTGGAAAACTCATGGTGTCACCCTTCCCTCCTCCAGACACCCCCCCCCCTATCCCACACCGGACCTGAAACGACTAATTCTTCACAAGACCATTCAGAATCGCTTATAGTAGACCTTATAGTGGGCCGTATATTGGGCCTTACATTAGGCCCTATATTATAAAATAGGACCTGAGAAGAAAACTGACATTGTTGCCGTATATCGCACAATGACATGAGCGCATATTTTATGTTTGGCTGTTCATAAGAGAATTTTTCAGTACGCTTCCAATACTTCTCGTCATGGTCAATCTATATACTCCACTCACATGTTTACTTCCCTTTCGACCAATCGCATTTAGCCACAAGTATAAAAACACAATCCACGACACCAAAACGTTTACCTTAAACAATACTATTTTCATACCTTGACGTTAACCTTGACACTAACCTTGACGCTAACCCAAACGCATTTAGTTACAAGTATACAAACACAATCCACGACACCAAAACGTTTACCTTAAACAATATTATTTTCATACCCTGACGTTAACCTTGACACTAACCTTGACACTAACCTTGACACTAACCTTGAAACTAACCCTGACGCTAACCCTGACACAAACACTGACACTGATCGTCACACTAGCCCTGACAATAAACACTACCTCGGACACTCACGCTGACACTAACCCTGACACTAAGTTACCCTGACCTTCCGTTAATATCTAAGCGTAACGATGAAGAAATACGATGTATCTTAAGCCTGGACAGGAAAACAATACGCTTGCAAGGGTGGGAAATCGAATTCTCAATTAAAAAATTAGGGCCATTTTAATTTCGGAAATTAACACTTTAATCTTAAAAAGATCTCTTTTGATAAATAACGCTTCTGGTGTGACTCGTGGACTGCTACCATTTACGGGTGCTATCTATCAAGCTGGCTGCTTCCTATTCAGCGTATTTGGCAATGGTAGTATATTACAACTAACTCTATACGTTTGAAAGAACCTATGGTTGAATAATGAGTTCATTAGGACGTACACTCTAATTACCGAAAACTACGCTTTTTTTGTTTTCATTTTAATAACGCAACTACATTTGATGCTACCTTAAAACAATAAAAAAATGAATTTAATAAAATATAATGACAAAATAATAGATTCAAATAATTTGTTTATCTTTCTAATTCATTTCGACATCATGTTAAATAATTCATAATAGAAGCAAATGTTTAATTTAGTACACACCATTATAACGTGAAAATTTTGTTCAGTTAAAACTTTGGAAAATTTGCCTGTAATTATATCAGTTTTACTCTGTATATGTATTGAATGATTTTGATTGAATAAAGAAAAAAGCAACCTTGATTGATGCGTTAGGTTTTCTTTTCGGAAAATGATCAATAAAACCGTTCCCATTTAAGTATGGTGTAAAAACATGTTCGGTTCAAAAGTGGTTGGGACATCAAAATATCTAAGACTAGATATAGCCCGCCAAACATTGGCGACAGCAATGCGTGAACTTCCGATGGGACACGTAGCCCGTATGGCAGACCACCGGCTCCCGAAACAAATATTCTTTGGAGAACTCACGATAGGCAAGCGCTCCCAAGGAGGCCAAAGAAAGCGTTACAAAGACTCACTGAAAGTGGCACTAAAGGCCTTCAGCATAAACCCTACTCAATGGGTGCAGACAGCCCAGGACAGAGCCAGATGGAGAGCTGCTGTCAAGAAGGGGGCTAAATCCCATGAAGCTAAGAGAATAACCACAGCTGAGACACGCAGGCTTGTCCGAAAGAGCAACATTAGGTCATCGTCTGAAGCAACTATTCCATGCCCACTGTGTCATAGATTATTCCGAGCAAGGATCGGTCTAACAAGCCACCTAAGAGCTCACC